GGGTAGGCGGGTATATATAAGAGGGGACAACGTGACGCGAGATAAGGTAATGTGTGTATAGACAGTGAGTAATTGATCTGCAGTCAGAAGTATTATTGAGCACGTTCGTTGTTATAGCGTTTGTTTAGCGCGATTGTTGAAGTTAAGTATATCGGTAAAGTTGTATTCGGAAAGAATAAACCAGTTTTATTAATTAAAGAACTTGTGTCGCTAAAGTTTCGTCGGAACGAAGTTACGGAAAGTTAATTAACAAACGGAGACGTAACAATATATTCCCATTGCTTCTAAAGGCGAAATAGTTTGAAGAAAAGGAAACACACATTCTTTAGCTAAATAACACAATTAATCATACATCCATGGAAGTCTATCAATCTGATATTGTCAGAGTCACAAAAATTACAACTACCGAGAGAGTAAATCCAAACTTTGAAAGCACAAATAACATGTAGAGAATTCTATCAACAAATAACCATAATTCGGGGTCATGAGCATGAATCTCTTTGAGAATTCATTGCAAAATGGCAAAAGTTCATACCACTGAAGAAGAGAATGGGAATCTTCAGAAGCCAAGTCAGTGAAGTGGAAATTTTTCTGAAATAATTTTATGTTTAGTATTTATAGGCATGCGTACAACCACTCAAGATTAAAACAATGAAAGCCACAAAGTCCATTGCAGAATTTTAGGCAACAGAAGATGAGAAAGTCATTTTACAGATTTTAATATCTTAGTTAACCAAATTGCAACCGTCACTAATAGATATAGTCACTGGGCAAATGAAAATAGTACAACCAATAGCAAGAGAGGAAAAATTATGAAAGTTTTGGGAGAATGAAATAGCAAGAAAAGAACGCTTTTTCATAACTAATAATTCTGTGCACAGCCTTAATGCATCCTAATTTTCTTGCTTGGGTCATTGCCTAAAGCCAGTAAAATGACGTCATCCACAATAGGAACAAAGAGAGGAGTATGAGAGCTCCTCGGGAAGGTTAACTTAGTAAAGGTCTTGGTTAATTGTGTTTAAAATATTGTAGACAGTAACACTTTCTTGCATGAATAAATAGTTAGAACTAAGAAGATTCTAAAAATTAATTTGATAACACAATTGTTGATACTAACATCCATGAAGTGTTGAATAAGGTGGACACCTTAACATTTTATACTTTGATGTTCATAAAAAAAAATCATAATAATGGTAGTGTCATATGCTGAACAATAATCTCAGTCTCTCTCTTTTTTTCGTGTGGGAAGTTTTTGATTAGGCTTCTATATATTCATGTTGATTATTGTTATTATTGTATTTAATATTTTTATTGTTTAATTTGGGGAGGGGGAGGAAGTGAAGAATAACCTGGAAAGGCCAAATGGCCTGGTGTTACCTTGTTTATTTTGTTGGTGTCTGGATGGCATAGGGCTTATGACAGTTTTATGCCCGCGGTGGACACAAAGCAGATAGTCTATTGTGTAACTTTCCATTTAAACATAAACAAACTTTTGTTGAGATGTTATACTTATGAAGTTAAGTTTCCTTCTAGGTAGAGTTTATTCACAAATTCAAATCAAATATGGCTTTTAATCTTTAGGTAAAAAAATTATTTTGTTTTTAAGATTCTAATTTCAACCATTGAGTGTAATTCTAATTTAACAACTATCCTACGAAAAAGGATTCTTGTGACTCGGTTGTTTGACTGGTTCGGTATAGAGGAAATATGGATTGTGAGACAGGTTTTTGCGCTTTCACACAAATTTCGTGAATTTTTATCTTTATCTTCGTTCTCATTTTTATAAGATTATGCAACCATGTGTGTTCTTTATGCCCTTCTTAATACAAATAACAATGGCTAAGTTTAAATTAAAATACAGTTTGTATAATCATATTATATATCTCAATTTCAGTCAGTATTATTCACTGATCTGTAACAGTAATAATTCCTTGCCATTGGTACAGTAGGCGCTTGTCTTTTTTGTGATATTTACACTTCGTCTTGCCTTTTTCAAACCACCCACGAGAAAATCATTACACCTGTCTTTTCATAAACTAGATCCACGAATTTGTTACTGTTGCGGGGAGCGGGTAAATGTGTACCTTGCCTATTCTGTGCCTTGGAATACCACATGTGGAAGGACGAGTGTAGTAATTTGCCGCTGATTGAATGGGTGATGATGACTAGCTGCTTACACTGCTAAATTAGGGACAGTTAGCGCAGATACACCTCGCGTAGCTTTGCGCGAAATTAAAAAAAAAAAAAACAGCATTCTTACTATGCGAAAGAATGAGTAATAGACATCACTACAACCCCCAGTGAGTAGGCAGTAAGTTTACAGACCTACAAAGTTAAAATCGGTTTCCCTCAGTTTTAAATAATGTAGTTAGCTCATTGTGTAGCTTTGCTCTAAACACGAACAAACAAATATATCTTTACGCGATTGACTATTCTTACATATGAACACATTCCAATAAATCTGAGAATGTATACAATATTGTTCAACGAGTCCTGACATAGCACATTGGTAGAGTTAATGTTGTGTTACGTCTCCGTTCGTTCGTTAATTTTCCGTAAAAATTCTTTCCGAAGAAACTTTACCGATAGAAGTCCTTTCTTAAATAAAACTGGTTTATTCTTTCTGAATATAACTTTGCGATACACTTAATTTCAACAGTCGCGCTATAACAAACGTTATAATTCTCAACGAACGTCTCACGTGCTCGACTCAACAATACTCCGTTCAATTACACACATTCTTGCCGTCAATTTGTGACCGTCTTATATATATACAAGACTACACTATATCTAGAAGGATCCCGAGATTTAAGGAAAGGACGTGAATGTTCGAGAACGACGTGGCGTGATACTAGTCACGTGACCTCTGTTGACGCAACAGTTGGTAGTTTCATTTTAGTAAGTGAGAGTCTTGTGACTCCCAATTTGAAGCTAATATTAAGCAAGCAAAATTCGGCTTATCCACTTCTCTTAGCGTTTTAAGATTATTCCTATTTTAAATAATATGGGATGTAGTTCAAAGATTAAACAACCTTACCCTGTTAAAAATGCTAAAAATTAAATTACACAAATGTACGTAGTTAAGCCTTTAATGTTTTTCTTTATGTTTATCTTACCTTGTATTATTTTAGTTGATATTATTGTAATATTATGTTCAACATGATTATTATTATATATTTTAGATATGTTATTGTGTTATATTATTTTTATGTTTCATATGTTAAGCTTCAGCTTTCCGCTAGGGTTTTCCTTGAGCGTAAAATTTGATAGCACTGTCACGTAACGTCATTAAGGTGGTTTTGAGTGTGGTTATAAATTATGTTTATTTCAATGTCAACAGAAAGTAAATAGCTATATCTTGGAATAAAAAATAAATAAGCAAAAAACATGATTATTGTTTAGTTCTTCCGAATGTATTTTTTAGTAATTTTCACATTTGTAGTACGATAAATAAAATTGTATTATTGAGTTTATTCAAATTATTGTATCGTAAATTATTATAATTTTCACCCTTGCCCTTGTTTATTGTTTAGCCTTAGGGTCTTAAGTTGTTTTGTCTATCAATGGAGTTACAATATAACAGGCCCATTTTTCCTCGACCTTGAATGTTGGGACTTATGTGATAAAATTTCCTGAAGTGAAGACTTGTATTCTTCACCGTTTGACTTTGAATTTCACTGTTTTGGGACTATGTGATAAAATTCCTAAAGAGTTGTGTTCTTCATCGTTTGAATTTGATATGTGAGTAGCAACAGCAATGCATATTTTCGGAGAAGTTAACATGTCTTATGTCATTGATAATATGGCTTAATTTAATTATGTGATATATATATATATATATCGAACATTTAGGGCTCCTTCTATTAGTATTACTATGACTATAATTTATAATTATAGGGATGGACGAGTTATTATTAAGAGGGAAAGGTTAAGGGAAGTACATGATTTTATTTTTATTGAAGTTTACAATATTGTCCAGGGGATTGATAGGATAAGGCCTCTTAATCTTTTTTTTTGTGTGTGCTATATTTTAAAAGTAACAGGACGAGTGGACACATGTTTAAGATTTGGAAACGACAGGCTAGTCTTCAGTTAAAACAGTTTTATTTTTCTGACAGTAACAAGGTTATTTACTTATGAAATGAGTTACCATCAGCAGTATTGGAGGCCAACATTTTACAACTACAAGAATTCAAGAGGGGAATTTATAATTTCTTGAAAGTAATGGGTTGATTTAAATTTTTACTTTTTCCAAGAGTGCGTATTTAAGGACAACCTTGAAGGGCTAAATGGCCTGTTGTCCATAGGTTATTGTATAAGTGATTGTGTACTGTTAATGTGTCACAACTTGACTGAACATGTATTGTAACTTACATTTGGAGATGATGTAAACAGTTATATAAATATAGCTCAGTTTTCTGTCATGGGTTTGAATAACAGCAAGTTTTTATTTGTTTTTTTACAGCTCCACAGCTGTAAAACAGAAAATTGTAGTAATGAGTCCTCAAAATGATGTTAACCATACTTCAAGCCTCTTGGATGACACATCTATAAATATGGAATTAGTTACAGAAGTGAGAAAAAGAGTACTTGAACAATTAGATCTACCTGATTGGAAAGGTATGAAGATTTAATTTAACCTTCATAAATATTCAACAGAGTGAACTGTTTTCCTTTTCAAAATTAAAGATTGGATGGAAATTAAAAGTTATCCAGTTTGGTTAGGATAATAAGTTATGTTTTGTAGCAGTTAGTGTAGGAGTTATTGTTACATATTGGAATGATACAAATTACAACACTTCATGTATTATGTTTAGAATACAGCCATCACTAAAGAAACACCTGACAACAACAAAGGAGAAAACGTAGCTTGAAATAAAATTAATTTATTACCACTTTTTATGTAAAATGTGCACATATTCTGAACAAAGAATGAATTCAGATTAAATATAATACTACCACGAAAAGATAGAAACACATTGTAGGTTCATATTACTACAAAAGAACTAAAAAACACAATACATGAAAGCAATGTTTTTTGCATATATTTTTGAACTAATCAATGTGTGTTTCATGAAATATAAAATTCAAAATATCTGTTATTTCAACTTATCAAAAGATACATTGACTTAAAAGAAAGAGGAAAAGTATGGGGAATTTATTTATAATATTTATTAATTTGTTGGTTTGATCTTCTCAAGTTCTTATAAATAGGGTTGTCCAAAATCTGTTAACAAGATTATTTAGTTGTGTTTCAGAGATGTGGTCGAGTGTCTGCTATACTGGCTACTAGAGCTTCAATGATCAAAAATTAATGTTAATGAATTTGTTGACATAAGCTACAGACACCATTATAATTATGCATTTAACAATTTTTGTTAAAATAACTTTTTACAAAAGTAATTATCATTTTAATAAATACTGATGTTTCACCATATATACAGTGCTATGAATGTTATAGTAGAAGTTATAACACTAAAATCAAATCTCCTATAAACATTGTAAATACAAAATATGCATAGTACTCAAATATACAGCAAAAGCCTAGCTGTGATTTTTTATTTACTTTTTTTAACTTATTACTATTTTATTTTTTGTGGTGCAAACTTTTCAACTTTTTTTATTCTGTTTGATTATATCATTTACTCATGCAGTTACTAACAATTATAGTTATTTGGATGAATCTATTGAGTAGGTTAGGTTAGGAGTTAAGACAACCTTGATGAGTCAAAAGGACTCTTGAATCCCAAAGTTTATAAATTAAAAACTTCATTTTTGGGAGTATATGACAATAGTTCAAAAACAATTTATACACTGGGTTTGTTAACTTCTAGACAAATGACTTTAGGAGTTATGTTTATTTAGTGAAATCTGCATACTGTAAAAAATGTGTCATGAAAATTGTGTTTAAGACTTGGACTACATTAGTTATTGATTTTTGAATTTTCACAGACAATTATGATCAAAGAGATATTGAGAGATTGATGCAAGATAACTGGTACTGTGCTCGATTTATTAAACACCAGAGGGATGACATTGAAAATAGCTTGAATATGATAAGAGAAGCCTTGAAATGGAGAAAGGAAATGGAGATACATGGTATTACATTTCAAGTACAATATGTTTGTAACAGAAGGTCCTATCTAATGTTTCAAACAGGGAAGTGACTTTGAACTTGGCATTTGTAACAACTATGCTGTTTATTGTAGTTTAACTTAAATATTTCAAAATTAAGTTCAAGAACCCTGTAAGGTTTTATGTATTTAATGTAACTTAAAATTCTTTTATTTAGTTTTACTTGAGCTCTGTATTTATATAAAAATGTTTCTGAAACATCATTTTCATTTTATGTTCTTTAATAAGATTGCCAGAAATTACAAAACTGACACAGTAACTAAACAAATATATGGCAAATTTCTTAGGATTCTGTAAACTTGTAGCTGTTTGTTGCTGATTGTTATCAATATAAGATCATACATATGAAGGTGAGTGGAGGTTAATTCTATATCCTTGAAAACAAATAGCACCAAAATTGAATATTAGATGTAGTCTTTTATATATAGCTAATGTTTTAAAATAGTATTAACACTGGGATTTTTGTAGAACATGAAATTTGTCATTTCTGTTTCCCAGGTCTTGAAAAACATGTAATTACACTAATTTTATTGATTTTCATGTAACTTGATGATTATCCTCTTTGGTTTTGTTTTTTATCTCTTGTTCAATATTGGTAAACACAATGGTCATTCATTGAAACACAGATTTTGGTGGACACTACCACACTTACATTGTAATTAAATCCCCTTATCCATGCTAATATACATGCACAATACAGTAATACAGCAAGCTTTAATAATAATATCAAATTTACTTTAAATACTGTAAGTACATTGTATGCACAGTATTCAAGTATAATAATGCTTGGAGATGGCTTGAATGGGTAATGAAGAAAAACGTTAGTATAAGTTTAACATAACAGCAAATGTACAAAGTTTCGAAAAGGTTTTGCCATAATCAACGAGGTTTTGCATTGTACATTTGCTGCTATGTTAAGCCTATATTAAAGTTTTTATTCATTACACGTTCAAGCTATCTCCAAGCATTATTAGTCTCAAAATGAGTTCTTTGTCATTGATTTAATACTCAAGTATGTGTGCTTTGAAAGTCTCCTGCAAAATTATAATTGTGATTTTTTTTACCTGGAGCAAACATTTCAACTTTTCCTTAAATTTGGTTTCATCATTTACACTGCAATAACTCACTTTTTTTTTTCTCTTGTCAAAACAACACTTCTATTTAGGCATTGACTTCTTTCTTATCAGCTATCAATGTAAACAACAGAATGATTGAACAAGATGATTACATTCATTCTGAAGTTATATTTCCCCATGGGTTTTCAAGGACATTAAGGATTGGATATATGAGCTAATTGCTACTATTTTTTGTAAGTCTTTGACTAGTGAGTATATGCAAGAAGGTTGGAACTTGGCTAATGTTACTCCTGTTTTCAAAGGAGGTGATAAAACTGTTCTGGTAATTATAAGACTATTAGTCTTGCATCAGTGTTGGAAAAAGTTTTTTGAAAGTCTGATAAAAGATTTAACATAGTGTCATAGAAGAAAATCTTGCCTTAATAATCTTTTGACATATGCTAACAAGGTTACTACTTATGTAAATGAGGGTGAGGATGTGAATTTGGTATATTTGAATTTTGACAAAGCATTTGACATGGTGCCACATCTCTCTAGGGGTGGGGATAATTGGTTCATTGTATAGAAAAGTGTATGGAAGAGAATAAAAGTCCTAACATTGAGTTCTAAATCACCCTAGTTGTGACATTAATCCAATTTGACTGAACCTTGTTTTTTGTTTTACGTTAATGACATAGATAAAGGAATGGTCAATAAAACATTTAAATTTGCTGATGATATTAAGTTCTTGGGTGTTTCTAGCTGTGAAGAAGATGCTGCTGCTTTAAACAAGGATTTAGATTATTTATTGGGTTGGACAAATAGATGACAGACGGCTTTTATTTGTAATAAATGTAAGGTAATGCATGTGGGTTATTATAATTTGAATTATTAATATAATTTTGGTAATAACCCTAACAATTTTATGACAGAAAAATATCTTTGTGCTCTGATTGATCAATCTCTTAGGCAACACAGCAGTGTGCTGTTACTAGTTTTATCTACAGAAATATTGAATACGAGTCTAAAAAGGTTATAATTTCATTATATAGGTCATCATTTCCTAAACTGGAGGTTGCAAGATCATAAAAACATTGTGATAACAGATATTTTAGAGTATGTACAGTAATTTGCTACCACTTTGTGTGTGTGTCTGGGGGGTCTTTTTTTTTAAATCTGTAAACACAAATTAGTGTGTTGATGATTTAACAACATAAGAAAAAAACATGTAGAGTAGTCTTTTTATCCTTTTTCATTTGTCATTTTTTGTGAGAAACCTTTGTGATCTCTTTTGTGAGTTTTTTTTGGCATGAACATCTTCAGTTAAGAGTTTATCTCAAACATACTTTCTGTTCTACTTAGGAAAATGGCATTATCTGTAGTTACAGTTTTTATGCCTATGACTTTGGAAAACACAGTACTTGATAATTTTACATAATTATAGATCTTGGGGAACACAACTTGTATGCAGAGTATTTTTCTCTTGGAGCAACATTCCCATACAACTGTGACAAAGCTGGATTTAGAATATGTAAGTACAGCCAACAAATTATAAACAAAATATGATGTTGTATCAGTGTATCTCTTATAACCGTGAGTTTTATTTCTTGTTTGTGTGCTAAGAAAATAATTCTATTTTTTCACTCATTACTTTCAAAGTAAGAACCAACAGCATTACCCCTAACTAAATTTATCTTTGGGTTTCATTTTCTACATTACCATTTTCTTGTTTTCACAGAACCAGTGCTTTTCTCTTCACCAGGAGTGACGGTAACTTTCTTACTTCCTTTAGTCCTCTCGTAGTTTGAACTTTTGTCTTCAGCTTGAGGTTATAGTAGATACATTATCACATTCGAAATTAACATTTTATAGTGAAATATCATTCAAAGAAATCCTTGCCTCTACCATAACTATTATATTTTTTTCTAAAATTAATTAAACTATATAATTCTATGTTTAAATAGTTATTTGTTTCTAGCAAGTTATCTCTAGGTGTAGTTGCTGCATCTGATTGGTAAAAAAAAAAGGTTTTTCAGTGTAATAGCTCAATGAAAAGCTTGGTTGGTCATCTACCCTGGCTATCCAGTTTTTTTTTCTTTCTTTGAAGTCTGCTTGGACCAGGTAACCAGATGTTACGGATTATTAATTCAATATAAATCTAACTTGTGAAGTTACATGCAAGAGTAATATTTCAACTGTAATTGCAGTGGTAGGAAAGGATCCTTGTGAAATTGTACTATTCTTTTTTAAGGTTTGAAAAAAACCTTTTAAAATATAAATAAGCCATTGTAGAGGTAAATTTTATTTTTTGATTACTGAAAAATTTATAAAATAATGACTGAAAACTATGTGTCTGATTATGGTTAAATTTATAGCAAGCCAGATTTTTTTTGTCAGTTGTTTGTGTAGCTGATTTTCATATAATCCTAGGAAACATAAAAATAGAAAGATGCATCATAACAGTTTTTGTCATTATCATTTTTAATGTAAGGAAGGAGAAAATGTTTGTTAATATTAGTTTAGCTTCTTGTAAAATTAAAAAAAAAAGCTGTTAGTATAACTAATTATAATCTCCATTTTATTACTAGTGGTAATGAGGGTGAAACTACATACAAAAAATGCTGCTACCATGCTGGAACAAAAGAAATTTGTAGCTTACTGGATAGAGAAATTGGACCACGAAACAAATGGAGGGAAAATTTCTATCTTAATGGACTTTTCTGATTCTGGTTTCTCAAATATGGTGAGACTGTTATCGATTGAGTTTGAGCTTTATCATGTTTAATTAAAAGAACAGTGATATCTTGGGCTATTTCATTTTTGTTGGTATTAAAAGTACTGTTGTTTTAATGTTTTTTTATTTGTTTTGTTCATATATACTTTAATATGTTAATTATTTCCACATCTTGATGAGGTAATATCACAACAGTAAATTACACTGAATGACTAAAAATATATTTAGAAGCAATTGATTCCTTCCTACTCCTTTGGAACTCAACACTTCCTTTCCTCCAGTGGGTCAGCAGAAATTTCACAGACTTACAATGCTAAAATCCAGAGTTCAATTTCTGTGGTGGGCAGAATGCAGATAGCCTATTGTGTAGCTTTGTGCTAAAGCAAACCAACAAAAATTCGATGACGAGGCAATCCACTTTCAGACTAATAATGGCTGGAGACGGCTTGAATGGGTAATGAAGAAAAACTTTATTACTTATTACTACTACTATACGTACGTCTACTCACTATAACTAACTAAACAAACCAAACAACACTACTTACCTACCTTACTTA